TTCCTAAATTTCCCAAAATAAAAACATTTAGGTGGCGACTCTGTATCTGCCAAAGCAGTCCATGTTTGACACTTCTTTCTAAAAATCTGTTTTTCAAACGATTTGTCGGATTTGGACTCTTTGGTGATTTATCAATCTTACGTCGCACATTGTGATATCAAATTCAGAACCATGACAATTTGAGAGTCCGAACTGTAGTGAGCCCCAATGAACAAAACGGGATTCCCTCCTGGGACGTTCGAACGTCTACAGTATGCTATTTGAAAATGTCCCTAATCTAATAATCGAAAGCGGTTAAGTAAAAATGGGAGAAAGACGTGGGGTTGGAAGACATGCACACACGCACGCACACTTATTACAACATTATGCCCTCTCGAAGGAGGGTCCGAATGAATAAGCTAACTAGCTACGCTAATTAAGCTAACTATTACAACACAATTGAAATAAATCAACTAACTTATTCTAAGCTAATTAAATATTACAAAATGAATTAACTAGCTAAACACTTTAACTAATTAAGTACAACACTTGAATTGAATAATTAGCTACACAAACTAATTAAAGAAATTAAATGGCCTCGAGGGCGAGGGATGCATGGTGCTCGATTGGTTTCCTCCGAGAATCCATCGCCTTGCCATCAGATACCTCTATTTGCACTTGTTTTTGATCTCTGAAACTTGTTCCAACTTCCAGAACACCTCTGCTCCATCTCGGGAACACACTGTGCAAAGTTTTCCACTGATGGCCGATCGACTGGTACTTGGCCGATCGGTGGTACATGTGGCCAGTCGGCACTACTTTCTTGAACTTCCCTTTTTGTTGTAAAAGAGAGCAAACAGAGTCAAGGCAGTGTATTCTCAAGGAATATATGTACTCGCTACCCTCCCTTATCATCACACCAAACTCGAAGGAGTGTATCTCTTGGCCTCAAGCCACAACCAAGAATTTTCAATGCATGATGGCTAGAGAACCAAGCTTGTACAAGGTCAATGAATGCACAAACAAGACCAAAGCAACCAACCACCCTATCATGCTTGATCAAGGGTGATGCTGACTAAGAAAAAGTGGCACGTTTCATCACCTTGAAGTATGAAACGTCCCCTTTTTTCTTGTGTTCGGATTAATGTCCGATCCAAACACATGCAATGCAATACGAAGATGCTCAATCTTGCCTCTTTTACTTTGTTCATTTTGCTTTAACACATTTTACTATTACGATTAGTCCTTTAATCGATTAAGTCAAGGTTATTGTCCTCTAAATGGAAAGAGGGATTGAACCAAACAGTGGCCTTGAGCATGAAAAGAGGCCTCTTGTTGTTGGTTAGTAGAAACCCTCAAAGCAGAGGATCAAAACGCATTAGGCATGAGGGCCTCAATTCCACACTCAAGCCAACAAAGGGGTTTCAAAGCTACTTTCAAAAAACAAATGAAAGAGTGAAGAATGAAGGAGATGACATGAGATTTCAGTGCTGAAATGGATGCAAAATGGCATTAAATTCATGCAAGCAACTCATGCAAGTCATGTTAGAAAGCCCTAACTCACTAAGCTAGTGAAAGAGATTGCGCTACAACAATAAAATACAAGCCTCAAAGGGCCAAACCACTCTAGAATAGAGCTAAGACCAGTCAAAATAGGGCCAAAACATGCGGAGAATTGAAGCACAAAATGCTAGAAAAAAGCATGCTCACATGTTAGCTTGCAAACAAGACTCAACGACGAGGCAACTTCTCAAAAGTTAATTATGTTTGCATATCAATAATGATAAAGATCACAATTATATTGAAATTTTCATAAATAATAATATTGTAGTCTTTTTATTTTCAATCAAAATAATCATTATTGTTCTTATAATTTTAAAAATATCATTGACATTTCACTCTAAATAATATTTTTATATAAAATATTTTCTTTATGTTTGAAAAAAAAAAAATTCCAAAACTCGGGAGGGCACGTGACCCCCCTAGGCCCTCCTTCCCTCCGCCCTGGGTGTGGGGTTCATAAGTAAAATGAATTTGAACCAATGATTCATTTTTTTAAGTAAATTTTAGATTGATAAGAATGTTTGTAGTATTGTTTCAAAAACCAAAATCTATCTATTTTTTATTAAAAAAATGCTAAAAACAATCATAAAGACCTTTGTTAGTATTGAAAAATTGTATAAAGAATGTGTCAAAAGTGAAAATGTAAAGAATTTCGTAGAAATACTATTTAAAAAGAAAAAAAACAAAGGGACAAAATTTTTTACATAAATTTCTAAAGTAAGAGAAGGCAGTCTGATTTCAGAAAATAAAAGGGTGTCTGGTTATTTAAAAGATACAGAAGGGTTGTAAGTGTAAATTTAAATATAAATCCTGACAGGAAATATTTTTGAGTACCTAACACGTGCCTTGCTTTTATTGCCACGTGTACCACGTGTGTGAGACATCTCTATATTGACTGTGTTTCAATTTTTTGAAAATTAATTTTTTTATTTTTCGCATTTTTTTTGTTTTAAGTGAATATCTTAAAAATTTTAATTCTTTTTTACTTTTTTAAATGTACCTTACTTATATATATCTAAAAGATAAAATATTTGGAAAAAATATTTTAAAAAATTAATAAATATACAAGAATATGAAAAATATACTAAACTTTTGTATTTTTTTTTATATTTTTGATATTTAGTGAATTTTTTAAATATTTCTTTTATTATAAATATTATACTTTTTAAGTGTGTTTATGTTAAGGCCTCGTTTGGTAAGTGATTATTTTAGCTAAAAAGTCAAAAAATAACTTTAAAAACCAAAAAGCCTACAATTTTTACCCTACAACCCTATACACAGTGCCTTCACATGATGTGTGCCAGATTCAATGTAAAAAGTCCCTTTTGCCCCTCGGTGATGCGTCGTTATTTCGTTTGTACCCTTGCTTTATGTCAAACATTGATGGAAATATTATCAGAGCCATCATACAGGGTCTACTATCCAAAGTTCAACTATATCAAACACGCAAGATGAGGCCCCTTCATTCAAGGCCACAAAGTAGTAGAAGCTCTGATCTGAAGAGGAAGATAAAGCAAGCGACGACTATAGTCTGCGAAGCCCAACGAAAAAGTAGTCCCGCCGTCGATGACCACCCCAACCGCAAGTATGCTCTTCTTCTCTCTCTGTCTCTTTCTGTCTCTCTATCTCTCTTCAGCCTTTCTTGTTTCTGTTCCTATATGTAACCACGAGACCTATGTTTTACGAATTTGTATATATATATATATGAACTCTCTCTCTCTCTCCCTCTCTCTCTCTTTCGCTGTCTCTCTCTCTCTCTCTCTCATCACTTTTCAATTTGAATTTCTCAAACTTTGTTTGGGTAATTAAAATGAAAGTCCCCTAAAAACAAGAGAGGGTGGTTTTATGGTTTCCTTTAAACCTTAGCAATAATCGAGTTGGTTGTGGTGGGGGTGTGTTGATCTGATAAAGTACGTAGACGGTGGAATCATTTTACGTAAAAATCACCATGACGTGTTTGCAAGGCAAGAGTAATGGTAAACTGAGGTGATGGACATGAGATAACAAATATGAAATGTTGTTAAACTTTTCTTTCCATACTACTGTTGTAAAATCACCACGACATGTTTCCACATTCAAAGGCATTTTTTTTGTTTCCATACTACTGTGGAATGTTGTTAAACTTTTCTTGTTGTTCTTACCCTGTTTCTGTTCTGCGCTGCATGTATTTGTTTTGGTTTGTGATTTGCAATTCTTCTGTGCTACAGTCTATACCAAATGTCTGTTTCAAAAAATACAGTTCGTAGGATTTTTTTTCCCCAAAATGTTATAGTTCTTGTTTTGTTGTCCAATAATGCGAGTGCTGTTTATTAGCATGCAATGAAGCTATAATGTTTTTGTAAAGGATATGCACTTGTTTGTTACCATCTCTTCTCTGTTTGCAATCACTGTTTAACAAAATGGCTATAGGGTGGGATTTAAATGTTCTGTGGGGGGGGGGGCTTGTTCGATTTCTAAACTAGTTTCGTATAATGCTTGTCCTGTTTCATGGCACATGTTCAGATAATGTTATATCACAAAAAAGTTACCACAAGAAAATTATGTCCATAACAAAAGTGTCACACCTATTGACCTATTCTTGTTCTGCTTGTCATGTCCCGAAACAAGTCACGAATGTTACCATGGCCTCGTTTATGTCAACTACCACATCAACACAACCAGGTTGTATGTGTGCTTGTGGCTACGGCCACTGTGTTTTAAAGATTTCCCGTTTTGCAAGAAACCCAGGTCATGCGTACTACCAATGCCCTCGTGGAGTGGTGAGTACAAACGCATTCACTTTTACATTTCCTTGTCATACCCTCACTAATATATTTTTTAACCTCAGCCATGTGTCAGTTGGATTGGGTGATGTGACAAATATGGGCGCCAAAGGGCTGTTGAGAATGACAGAGACAATGTCGCTCGTTTTGAGGCTTGTTTCATTCACATTGAGCAAACTCTGCGTGTACTTATAGTAGTGACATGTGTATTGTGCATCGTCGTCGTTATTTTGTTGTTCCGAATGTGATATATGTAACCGTGCTACGACCTTACCCTATTGTTATTAAAGTCATTATGTTTTGTGGCCCAAAAAAAATTCTGAAATTATGTTATGTTCGTAAACATGTAGTTATTATATCTTTCCGCAACTGTTTATTTTGTTTCAAATACTAATGTCATTAAATGAAGCTTTTGCGAACTGAAATTATGTTTTGTTTCAAATACCACATTTCTGACATAAAAGGTGTGTTCATAATATTTGTAATGCTTGTATTGATTGTATACATATTTTTACGTTGGTTCCCGTTCCATGACGTTATTATAGTTGCATGGCGTCACATCGACCTGCGCCTTGTACCCCTTCCAGCAAAGGGAAATGGCAACAACCCTATCATAAAGCAACTTGGGATGGGGAGTCGACATAGATATTCTTGGAACTGGTCCTTAAGGAAATTGACGGAGGAAACAAGCTGCATATGTCAATCACTCTGAAAAGGTACCGTTCGTTGTCTAAGACATTTGAGGCAGCAACTGGGAGGTTGCATGAGCCGAAACAACTTAAAAACAAGTACAATTTATTGAAGAGCGAGTGGCGTGCATGGTCTAAGCTAATGGATTGCCCGAAAGGCCCAACTGGAATTGGCTTTGACCAAGTTATTGGGTTGTTCAATGCGTCGGCCGATTGGTGGGCTAAAATGGACAAGGTAATACTGTCCACCAAATTTACATTTTGTTTTTTCGGTCCGTTATTACAAAACTAATATCTCATTTTCTGTATGTATACCATGCTTTCCTATATACACACAACGTTGTATGTTTATAACTTTAAAGTTTTGGAATATTTCCGAGAAGACAATTATGACATAATTCTGATGCCCGAAATGAAAATTAAAGGAAATTATGTAGAGGAAATTTCATCAAATTTTAATGGCTTTACCCAATTACTTGACTTTGCTAATAGGTAATTCACTTGGTTTTATTCACGTTTCAGATTTTATTCACATGAAAACTTGGGACTTATAGGTGCTCCTTAATCAAATAAAGGATGTTTAAGATTTTATTGCACCATACATTGAACTAATAGGATTGTGTTGCACAATTGTATCAGTTACAAAATTTTAATCTCGACTTGGAAAAAGATAAAGAACTGGAGAAATAGCAAAATTAAATCCTGGTGCAAAAATGGCAAAAATTAATAAAAATAACTCGTAACCATTTTCCAATCGATTTCTATTCCTTCTCTCTGCATCAGTCAAAATTCAGAATTCAATCCAAATTTACAACCGGCTAATATAAAAATCTTTAAAAAAAATTAAAAATAAAAATAAAAAAGAAGAAGAAGAAGACATTAAAGACATACCCTTGGTGAAGCTTAAGAAGAAGAAGACATTAAAGATATTAAAGAAGATATCAACTGTGATCCCACCAATTGCTGCATTGTTCACCTGCAGGTTCAAAACTTGTTTGTAATTTAACAAAAATTAGGATTTGGATAGGTTAATTAAACTTTGGTATATCTCTCCAACTGTTTCAATCTGATTTACAAATTGAAAGGAAATTAAAATAACATAAAAAGCCAATACTTGTGCTTAAAATTCCATTAAAATCTTGAAATATTTCAATTCCAAAAAGAACTAGACATATAACAATATTATATAAATGGAAAATGCGGAGAGAGTAATAGCAACTCAATGGAATGCAACTGAGAATTGTGTCTTAGGCACAACCTCATTTGCAAAATTTGATTTATTTTTTTGTCTGAACTTTTTCTAAAGGGTAAATTACTTTAACCTCTCTTTAGGTTTTAATTTTGCCATTTTTGCACCATGTTTCATTGAATTTATTCCACGTCAATATGATAATGCTATTTACATTGTGTTCATTTACAGATTGACAAAGAATGTTACAAGTTCATAACCAAAACCTTGGAGCATTCGAATTTGATGGAGTGCGTCTTTATTGGCGCTGCAGCAATGGGTAAAAATGCATGGACACCCGGTGAGACTTGTAACCCGATGGAATTGGAAGGAGAGTCTGACAGTCCAGAATTTTCCAGCAATAGCAATGAATTAGGAGCATCGAAAATGGCTAGCATGATGAACCCTGCCAACATCAATGCCATAGGTAGTAGAAGCAAGCGGAAGCATTCATCGGCCAAAACATTGCAAAACAAGTGCATTACTAAGGCTGCAGCATTGGCAACCAGCATAAACGACTTGGTAAATTTCGTGAAGATTCAGAGCAAGGAATTAACTATCAACCACATTGTCGGAGGGCACAGTTACACTATGGCCAGGCTGTTGAATGGTTGTATGAAATACAGGGACTAGACCCCGCCGATCAACTTCTCCATTTCGGAGTCATGCTTATGGAGGTTCCGAACAATCAGGAGATGGTTATGAGTATTCCCATGGACGAAGGCATAATCGGGTGGCTACAAGCGAAGAAACAGGACAAAGAAATGAGCGGGGGTATCACTCTTGCGAGTTTGCTACGCAATGAAGGACTTCGGTTTAAATCCGCATGGGAAACAACTCTAACGCTTTTGTTTATTTTAAGTTCAATTGTGATTTTCTACGTGTGAACCTTTTTTTTAATATTTTATTGTCATTGTTGGTTTGACAATGGATTGGGCAGGGGACATGGCTGTGGACCTATTGTCCTTAACTTTTAGGTTGTAAAATCTATTTGTGGTTCTTATGTTTGTTATGGTAATTGCTACAGGGTTTAACAAATTGTGGTAATGCATTTTTTTATCCCCAGTACCCATTTTTCAATGTTTTATGACCAGGTTGGGAATATAAAATTATAAAATTATGAAATTCCCATGTGGTTTTCTGTATACTAATGAATGAAAGGAATGCGGTTAGTTTAAATGTAAATGCATGTCTTATCTGATGGGTTTATTGTTATTATTTTGAGGGCGTTACAGCACGGATGAATCAAATGTTAGAGGATATCGTAGCACTCGCAATACAGTGGCAGCGTGAAATGAATTATGCATATGTTGAAGCCTACATAATTGCCACTGACTATTACAAGGCCCACGTCCTTAAAGTCCCATGCCGTACTTCTATCTTGACGAGGAGGGCATGGATTATGGAATTGTACAATGGTCACAGTGGCCGCTTCCGGTACGAATTGTGCATGCCCAAACATGTGTTCATTCGGTTATGTACGACATTGGTAAACGACTTCTAGTTGCGTTTACCTGAGCGTCCGCAAGGCTTGCACGTCGAAGAGAGTGTTGCAATATTCATTCATGTACTTAAAAACTTGCCGAACCGGGAGTTACAAGAATGATTCCAACACTCCGGTGAAACTATTTCACGCCATTTTCATAACGTATTGAAAGCAATGAACAAATTCACTGTCGCTCACTGCAGGCCCCCTGCTAATTTCCCGACACACAGGGATCCCCATTTGCAGTCTCAACCACAGTATTTGCCGTTCAAGGTGTGCAAAAATATTTCGTAATGTTTTGGAAAATGCTCGATATGAACATGGCCGGTAATCTTATCATTGTTTTTTTTTTTATTCATATATGGGATTGCTTAGGTGCATTGGATGAGACACATGTGCCAACATGCATAAAGGAGTCAGAAACAGCCCCATATTTCAGCCGAAAGGGGTGCCACACCCAGAATATTTTGGCGGTGTGTGATTTCAACATGTGCTTTGTGTTTGCCTTGTACGGGTGAGAGGGCAGCATGCATGACAGCCGGGTTTTAAGCAATGTAATCGAGAATCCACAATACAATATTCCAACTGCAGCCGACGACACATACGCCCGAATCCATTTTCTTGTCAATACATAATTCAATTCTGGAGATACAATTGTTGTGAACTAAATGTACGCTATTATGCTTAATTTAAAATTTGTATTGTATGCAAAGTGAACATTGGTCATGAGTATTATGTACCCACTTTTTTACAAAAATCAACCAACAAAAAAGTTATGTACTTTCCATTGCAAGTGTTCACTTTTGCAAACACAAGTTTAGCTGCAAGCATATAACAAATATGACCAAATCTTCCAACATAAAACATATAAACAAAATTCTAATTCAAAATACCGTGTATATTTCTTTCATACGAACTGAAAACTTATTGCAATTTCTGTACCATAATAGACTACATTACATTGCCCATGCGTGTGGCAGTATACATGTAATTAACATGTGCACTTTGACAGGTCACTATTATATTGTGGATAGTGGATACAACAATAAGAAGGGCTTTCTAGCACCATACAAAGGCAACCGATACCACCAACCGGAATTTCAAAGGCACAATCCACGGAACCGTGAGGAGTTGTTCAACCGCGTGCACTCATCTTTGCGGAGTGTGATTGAGCGTACCTTTGGTGCTTGGAAGGCGCGGTGGAGATTTCTTAAAGACATGCCTCGATTTGATTTTCGTAAAGTGCAGGTACCATTGGTTGCAACGTCCATGGCTTTACATAATTTCATACACAGAAATAGTCAGAATGATGAGATTATTGTTGCTGTCACCAGTGTGGTGGAGTACAGTTACGTGGACATGGATGTCTGGGACGATTTAGCTACCCTTGACGATGTAATGATGCCTAGGAATGACGACATTGAGATGGCGCAGTTGTGGGCGCGTATCAGGGTGGAGTTGGTTGCAATTTGGTGAAATGCTCGTTAGGTAGAAATGTTATGTGATGCATGTCAACACTGTGTTGTGTTCAAATTAATTGGAGAAGCAAATTTGTGTATATTGGTTACCAATTATGTACGAGCATGTATGTCATTGTTTTTGTACAACTATGCACACACACCAATTTTTGTCACAAAATATATGACACAAAATTTGCACAACACAACAACTATACTGCACGGTTTAACATTTTTTGGTTTTTTATGGATTTTTTTTTGGGGGGGGTTGTGGGTTTATTTTTATTTTATTTTTCTAAAGATTCTTTTCACATATATATGTTTTCAAAGTTCTTATGTGAGGTGCATACTTAAAGAAATTGCTTACAAAATTAAAATAATGCGCAAACAAAAATACGAAATACTTTTTGCTCAGTGATTCATGAAAAACTGAACCAAACAAATTGAAAACATTTCACAAATGACAATATAACATTTCCGTAAATTAACATATTTTTTTTAATTAGAATTTTTTTTCGGAATATGAAATTCTCGGACTCCAATAATTATTTCTTCATATATATGTTGTGGAACAAAATTGAGTTTTTCACACACTTTAATATTCATGTGTTCATGAGTAACAATTGATTTCTTCATATATATGTTGTGGAACAAAATTGAGTTTTTCACAAAATTTAATATTCATCTGTTCAAGAGTTTTTAATAAAGATTTGAAAATAGTTTTAACATATATACAATTGTCAGGAACTTGTAAAAATTGTTTCATAATGAATTTTGCAAGTTTTTTAATTTTTTTAAAAAATAAATTCATTATATTTCACAAATTGTAACAAAACATTTTTGTCAATCAAATTTCAATCAGTGTGTTTAGTTTCAGTTTTTTGAATTCAATTTGTTGGAAAATGAGATTTTTTATTTTTCATGTTTTTTCTTTTTAGTAAATATTTTTTAAATTTTAAACATTTTATTTTTATTTTTTTAGATGCACAAGTAAAATATTTGTCAAAAACTATTTCAAAAAATTAAGTAATACACAAAAATACAAACAATATACTAAATTTTCATATTATTTTTATATTTTTAGTATTTAGTGAATTTGTTAAAACATAATTTCAAGAAAATTATATTTTTTAAGTGTATTTATATTAGGTGTGTCTAAAAATTAAAAAATTGATTAAAATATTAAAAAATTCAGTATAAACAAAAAATATGAAAAATAATAAAGTAAAATTTTTTGAATTTTTTTTAAAAAAAATCTTAAACCAAGTAAAGTGAGTAATTTTTTTCCTATGCCTTTTTAGCAGAATTACACATTGGAAGAAGTCCAAATTCTATTGTTTTTTTCTATACAAATTAATTTAAATATACACATCCAGCAAGTCCTTTATATGCATACTCCCAATATGTATGTTTCCTAGGCATGCTTGCTGCGAGTCCGGATCCTCTCCTTGAGAACCCTCCTCCACATCCTACTTGCAACCGCTGAGATTAGCCGTTGCACATCCAACGGCTGAGATTTAAAAAAAAATGAAATTTTCGTCCATTCCCAACCAAACAAAACACGGCTCTCACAGAGGTTATGCCCACTCCTCTCACACAGCCTACAGCCTACACTCAGCCCTTCTCCTCTACCCTCACCGGCGACCCAATACCGGCGGTGACCCACTCTCGACGTCGTTGCAGATCCGATGACGGTAACCCAGTCTCAAATCGATACAGATTTTGTCTAGGTGGGTCTTTGGCAAACCAGAGGTTAGTCTTCCTCTTTTCCTCGCACTATGTAATTTATTATTTGAGCTTGAAACATTATCTGTCTCAGCCGTGGATTATTTGTTTGAGCTTAATAATGGGTTAGAGACATTATTGATTTGAGCTTAACAAACATTATTTGAGCTTAACATTGGGTTCAGCTTAACATTATTTGAGCTTAACAATAGATACAAATTGTTGTATTAGAGACATTATCTGTGTAATGGATTATTGATTATGTTTGATTGAGCTTGAAACATATCCTCTTCCCAAAAATGTGTGGTTGGAATTTTTTAAAACTTTTTCTCTGCCTCATACTGTATAATTTATTATTTGAGCTTGAAACATTATCTGTCTCAGCCGTGGATTGTTTGTTTGAGCTTAACAATGGGTTAGAGACATTATTGATTTGAGATTAACAATGTTTGAGCTTAACAAACAATATTTGAGCTTGACAATGGGTTCAGCTTAACATTATTTGAGCTTAACAATAGATACAAATTGTTGTATTAGAGACATTATCTGTGTAATGGATTATTGATTATGTTTGATTGAGCTTGAAACATATCCTCTTCCCAAAACTGTGTGGTTAGAATTTTTTAAAACTGAACTTAGTCTCTAAGTTTTTATGGCTGGAATATTTTTTCAAATTGAAATTATGTTTTTATGTGTCTAAAATAAAGATTTAATTTATGTACCTAAGATTTTATTTATATAGGTTTTCAGTTGCATTTTGATATTGATATGAAACCTGAGAATGATTGTGCTTGGAAGCCAAAATGACATTTGATTCTGAACAATGTGCGTATGATTTTTATAATACATATGGAGGAAGAATGGGGTTTAGCATAAGAAGGGATTATTGTAGGAAGAACAAGTTCACTAACCAACTTATTTATAGACTTTTGGTTTGCAACAAGGAGGGATTTTGAAAGGTTGACAAGCGACACCCATTGGCAAAAAACCCTAGAGCTGAAACTAGGACCGGTTGTGAGGCTCGACTTTATATTAAATTAGATGAGGGTACTGGGAAATTTGTTGTGACTGATTTCAAAGAAAAACACAACCATGATCTTGTATCACCCGAGTGTGCCCACATGTTGCCATCACAAAGAAAGATATCAACTACCCAAGCAATTGAGTTAGATTTGGCGGCACAATCTGGTCTTCGTTTAGGCCAGTCTTTTGAACTCATGGGTACAGAAGCTGGTAGAAGGCAATGTCTTGGGTTTACGAAATTAGATCAAAAAAATTATTTGAGAACCAAAAGACAACAAAGTTTAGCATATGAGGAAGTAGGCAATGTGTTGCAATACTTTAAAGAAAAATCTTTGCAGAATCCTTCCTTTTTTTATGCTTTTCAATTAGATAATGAGGAGCAAATAACCAATATGTTTTGGGCCGATGAACAAATGATCATGGATTATGCCCAATTTGGTGATGTTGTCACATTTGATATGATTTACAAGTTAAACAAAGAACATAAACCCTTTGCATCTTTTGTGGGATTCAACCATCATAGGAAAACAGTTATATTTGGTGCAGCATTGTTGTATGATGAGACTGCTGAATCGTTTGTATGGTTGTTTGAAAATTTTCTAGAGGCTATGTCAAGAAAGGCACCAAAAACTTTGTTCACCGATCAAGATGCTGCAATGGCTAAAGCCATACCCATCATTATGCCTGACACAAGTCACCGATTGTGTACTTGGCATTTGATGCAAAATGCATTAAAACATGTTAACTGTTTGTTCCAAGATAAGGGGGTGAAGGGTGTACTAAATAAATTCTTCTTTCACATTAAAGATGCAAATCAATGGAAGTTAGAGTGGGCGGAAATGCTTGATAAATATGATGCGCATGAAAACCATTGGTTGAAATTGACTTTTGCGGTGAAAGAAAAAATGGGGATGGCCTTATGTTAGATCAACATGGGCTGCGGGAATGAGTACCACACAACTTAGTGAATCTTTTAATGTTTTTTTGAAGGATTACATTCGTTCTGATTTCAACTTAAATGAATTCTTCATGCATTTCGAAAGGGTACTTTATGAGAAGCGATACAAGGAGTTAGAAGCAAGATATGCTTTGTGCCAAAGGTTTCTAAAGGTGAAAGCAACAATAAGAATGTTAATTCAAATGGGTAACGTCTACACAAAAAAGATCTTTGAGGAATTTCAAAATGAGTACTTTCAATCCATTGAATCGAATCAACTGTCCAATCTGTAGTCAGGTCCGTCCTTGATGTATTTTTAATTTATAGTTGCTGAAAATTCTGGGCTTTTAGTTGATGAAAATTCTGTGATAGCATGTATTTACTTGATAAAAATTCTGTCTTTTTCTTTTTAGGCTATGGACAAGCAGAAACAGAAGCAAACTGATGCTGAAATTGGGTTGGAAAGTGAAGTCATGGCCTCTGAAATTGTGAAGCAAACTGCTGCTGGAAAGTGATGTGGAGGAATGTGTGTTCAAATGTTATTATGGCTTGTATGTATGTTCACAGCAAACTATGAAGCAATGTGTGCATAATGGACCACTGTGTTATTTTATATAGACCAATGTGTTAAATTACATGGACCAATGTGTTAATTTTGATGGACCAATGTTTTAATTTAGATGTTAAACTTGTATTGGTTGATGTTCATTTACAGTTGATTTTAATTTAGATGTTAAACCCAAGTGAGCTGGTTGTGGTTCATGTTCATTTAACTTGGTTGATGTTGGTTAATGTTCATTTAACTTGTATTGGTGTCCATGTTGGTTCTGGTTCTGGTTCTGATGTTGGTTGATGTTCATGTTCATTTAACTTGGTTGTTGTTGGGATGTTAATGTATTGCTTCTGGTATGCTGGTTCATTTACAGTTTATCATCTGGTATGCTGTTAACATGGGCTGCTGGATCTGTTGTTACTGGTTTTGTAGATGGTGTTGCAGAATTCATTATGTCTGCAATGATTTTGGCTATGGTTCTGCAATGATCTTCATTATGTCTGCAATGGTTATGGTTCTGTAATGGTTCTGCAATGATCTTGATTATGTCTGCAATGATTTTGGCTATGGTTCTGCAATGATCTTCATTATGTCTGCAATGGTTATGGTTCTGTAATGGTTCTGCAATGATCTTGATTATGTCTGCAATGATTTTGGCTATGGTTCTGCAATGATCTTCATTATGTCTGCAATGGTTATGGTTCTGTAATGGTTCTGCAATGATCTTGATTATGTCTGCAATGATTTTGGCTATGGTTCTGCAATGATCTTCATTATGTCTGCAATGGTTATGGTTCTGTAATGGTTCTGCAATGATCTTGATTATGTCTGCAATGATTTTGGCTATGGTTCTGCAATGATCTTCATTATGTCTGCAATGGTTATGGTTCTGTAATGGTTCTGCAATGATCTTGATTATGTCTGCAATGATTTTGGCTATGGTTCTGCAATGATCTTCATTATGTCTGCAATGGTTATGGTTCTGTAATGGTTCTGCAATGATCTTGATTATGTCTGCAATGATTTTGGCTATGGTTCTGCAATGATCTTCATTATGTCTGCAATGGTTATGGTTCTGTAATGGTTCTGCAATGATCTTGATTATGTCTGCAATGATTTTGGCTATGGTTCTGCAATGATCTTCATTATGTCTGCAATGGTTATGGTTCTGTAATGGTTCTGCAATGATCTTGATTATGTCTGCAATGATTTTGGCTATGGTTCTGCAATGATCTTCATTATGTCTGCAATGGTTATGGTTCTGTAATGGTTCTGCAATGATCTTGATTATGTCTGCAATGATTTTGGCTATGGTTCTGCAATGATCTTCATTATGTCTGCAATGGTTATGGTTCTGTAATGGTTCTGCAATGATCTTGATTATGTCTGCAATGATTTTGATGGACACATGGTTTTGTAGATGGACACCAGCAATGATCTTGGCTATGATGGAAAACTCCTTCCAGCAATTATTTTTATGGTGGAAAACTCCAACTGTCTCACCCTATTATCCAGTTCAAGGATTAAAAGTTTATGTTTTTTGTGCAATTGTGATGTGGAACCTGAACAGCCTCAATTTCTCCATTTTCAAACCCTGTGCCAATTAATGAGTTGATATTTTCTTGTGTTATTATGGGTATCAAGAAATGGTTAACAGTTTTGAATTGCAGATTCAGGACCCTTGAAAAACTCCATTAAATTCTCAGTTTCTTAGTTGTGTTACTCAATCCCTCAATAGAATCACCATGGTAGTGTACTAGCTACACAAAAAAACTTTCCCTCAGGCCTTCAAATTCACAACTGGAAATTGAAGCAAAAACAATGGAAATTATGAGATACAAAATGACCTCATATATTATAGTGAAACTATCATATTATCTAATATTCGCCTCAATTACATTACTGCAGCATTCCACAACATGAGTGAGGCCACAATTACTATGTAAACGATGACACAACTGACCTATTAGAATTGAAGCATTCAAGCTGATTTCAACATTCCAAAATGATCTTGGCTAAGCCAAAATGCTAACAATAAGTCATGCTGCTGGCATACTCATTCCATCATTCATTCCAAAATTCATTTCATCATTCATTCCATAACAGATAACAAGTTGAATGTTTCCCAAAATTCATTCCATCATTCATTCCAAAATTCATTTCATCATTCATTCCATAACAGATAACAAGTTGAATGTTTCCCAAAATTCATTCCATCATTCATTCCAAAATTCATTTCATCATTCATTCCATAACAGATAACAAGTTGAATGTTTCCCAAAATTCATTCCATCATTCATTCCAAAATTCATTTCATCATTCATTCCATAACAGATAACAAGTTGAATGTTTCCCAAAATTCATTCCATCATTCATTCCAAAATTCATTTCATCATTCATTCCATAACAGATAACAAGTTGAATGTTTCCCAAAATTCATTCCATCATTCATTCCAAAATTCATTTCATCATTCATTCCATAACAGATAACAAGTTGAATGTTTCCCAAAATTCATTCCATCATTCATTCCAAAATTCATTTCATCATTCATTCCATAACAGATAACAAGTTGAATGTTTCCCAAAATTCATTCCATCATTCATTCCAAAATTCATTTCATCATTCATTCCATAACAGATAACAAGTTGAATGTTTCCCAAAATTCATTCCATCATTCATTCCAAAATTCATTTCATCATTCATTCCATAACAGATAACAAGTTGAATGTTTCCCAAAATTCATTCCATCATTCATTCCAAAATTCATTTCATCATTCATTCCATAACAGATAACAAGTTGAATGTTTCCCAAAATTCATTCCATCATTCATTCCAAAATTCATTTCATCATTCATTCCATAACAGATAACAAGTTGAATGTTTCCCAAAATTCATTCCATCATTCATTCCAAAATTCATTTCATCATTCATTCCATAACAGATAACAAGTTGAATGTTTCCCAAAATTCATTCCATCATTCATTCCATAACAGATAATAGATAACAAGTTGATGTACATAAAACCCAAAATGGTACAAACTTCCATTCAGTTTCCCAAAATACAATAAAGTACAAAAGTTATATCATAAAGTACAAAATGATAGAAAATACAATGAAGTACACCATCTTTTTGATATTATTTTCCATCCTTTGAAGCCTTTGACCATAGTCATTTTCCATGTAATGAAGCATCATCCTTACATAATCGTTCAAGTCTTTTACTGTTATACCAGCAGAAGCTGTACTGTTGGAACGGATTCTGGACGTAACGTCTTCATCATCTTCATCTACAAACTTGAAGTAATTGCAATGGTGAGTGAGAGTGTTACTCTGCAATGCATGCGAATCAATTAGTTGAATAAAACAAATATTAATGTGACTAATAAAGGAAGAAAATAGCTAGAATTACCAACTTACATATTTTGATGGGCAAACAAAGAACAAACACCCTTCATTTCCATGCTCATTGGTTCTTACAATATGTATGGCCGCGGTTCTTCCACAATTGCACAGCCTCGGTAGTAATCTTATGTTGCTAATGTTAGAAGAAGAAGCCATTTTTTAAATATGCATACATGAGAAATTTTTTAAATAGCAGTTCTATAGAGGAGAGAGACAGAGTGTGAAGGCTAATGGAAGTTGCTCTTATGAAAGTTAGTTCTAAATCTGTGAAGGCTAATAGAAGTTGGTGCTAATGGACAGAGTGTGAAGGCTAAAAATATATTGAGGCTAATGATTCAGTGCTAATGGTTAGAAGTTGGAGCAATTAAGGTTGAGGAAGCAATATATTGAGGGAGATGAAGCAATATATTAAGTTGGAGAAATATATTGAGGCTAGAAGTTGGTGCTAACGGTTCAACCAATAGAAATATATTGAGGGAGATGACGCAATTAAGTAATGACCTAAAAAATATATCAGTGCTATTTAGATATTCAGGTCAGTAATTAAGTAATTCATGGGATTATACTGTCACTAAGTTTTGAAAAATATATCAGTGCTATTCAGATATTCAGGTCAGTAATTCTAGCTGACTTCTTTGTATACATCTTACATATTCAGGTCAGTACTGAATGTGGTATTTTGAAATTTTGCTTTTAGTAACAATTTGTTAAATAATTCTAATTTTTATATTAGTGCGTATTAATTAAGGCATGCTTTGGTTTGGTTTGGTTTGGTTTGGTTTGGTTTGCATAGTGATTAATGTGCTCTTTATGTATTGTAAACTATAATACAATTGATGCTGTTTTATTATAGATCTATATGTAAAATATTCAAAGTTTGTTTTTAATTAAGTGAACCAGGTCATCATTATTAACAAATTGTGTTATATTTAACAATACAAAATAATCTGCAGCAAGCTTGATATATTTTGGTGAAGAATAAATTTATTTTGTTTTTCATGAACTCACATTTAGGGAGCATACCTTATTCAATGGATACTAATTTATCAAAAAATGGCTACTGTTTCATCAAAAACAGGGAGCATATTTCATGAATTTGCTATTGGTTTATCAAAAATTGCCTACTGATTTAAAGAATTGGTATTCAGATTGTTCCGATTTCATATCATATTTCCATGAATTACTTGTCTCTCTGGAATTTAAGACAGAAAATTAGAGAAATAATTACAAATGGAGAGAGATGGGAAAAAAGAAGAAGAAGAAGAAACCCAAATCAAAGCTGAAAATTTTTAGCCGTTGGTATCCCAAATCGAAGCCCTAATTTTGAAATTCCAAATCTAAAAGCCCTAAATTTTTAGCCGTTGGAATCCCAAATGAAAGCCCTAATTTTGAAATTCCAAAAGCCTTAATTTTGAAATTCTAAAAGCCCTAATTTTTTCAGACGTTCACAGAACCCTAACTTGTCAATCTCAATTCCAAACCCAAATGTTAATCACACAATTCTTGACAAAATAATTTCAGACGTTTGAAGACCAACCTGGTTCGTCAAGATGATCTTTGCTGAGCCGATGGTGGTCGTCGTGGTGGAGCTATGGCTCATGAAGCGTAAGTGGGGTCGTCGCGGGGTTACAAGTGGGTTTGCTGTCTGAGTCACTGTCGGGACTGATCGCCGGTTCGCCGGTGAGGGTGGGTTTGGTGGGCGAGCGGCTGAGTGAAAGTGAGAGTGAGAGTGAACGTATAAGTGTTTTGTTTGGGTGGGAATGGACGAAAATTTCATTTTTTTTAATCTCAGCCGTTGGATGTGCAATGGCTGATCTCAGCCGTTGCAAGTAGGATGTGGAGGATGGTGTTTTGGAAAGTTGGTAAAAAGTTGGCTTTTGATTTTTTTAGCCAAAAAACCTAGTTTTTAGGTAGTGACTTAGGTAAAAAAATTAATTTTTTTGACTAAAAAAGTAAAAAACTGACTTTTTACTAACTTGCCAAAGCAAGCCATTAGAAGAAGTCCAAATTCTATGTTTTTTTCTATACAAATTAATTTAAATATACACATCCAGCAAGTCCTTTATATGCATACTCCCAATATGTATGTTTCCTAGGCAGAGTCCGGATTCTCTCCGGCTCATCCTCCTGTCAACAGCTCAGATCACCTACAAATAAATAAATGGCTCAAATTCACTTCTTTAAATAATAAAAAAAAAAAATACATACTCACTAGCACACTCACTACACACACACTCTCAATCCGTACCTTTCTCTCTTCGTCCTTTCTCACCGGACACACACTCATCACAGCACACTCACTCACTCTCATACACACACTCTCTCTCTCTCTCTCTCTATCACATTTTTAATAAAAAATAAAAAATCTATTTTAATCTTTTTAATTTTATTTTCATAATATATAAATATATAGAATTTTTATAAAATTAATATCATTGAAAATATACTTTTAAAATAAGACTAACACTAAATATATTTAATAAAAATTTAAAATGAATAAAAAGTAATTACTATGGTTAGTTATGCTTTCAAATTATTATTTTAAAATTTTTCATATATGAAAATAATGACTTATTTAATGAAAATATACTTTTAAAATAAGACTAATATTAAATTTTTCAGAAAAAAATATATGAAAATAATGACTTTTAATTTAAATTTATTAACCAAACGAGTTTAATTTTCATATATTTTTAAAATAATTTTAAAAATAATGACTTCATATTTTTTTTTGGAATGAAGATTATTTTTGAGAATTTAAAAAATATATGATTTTTGTGTGTTTTATTTCATCAAAATAATTTTTATATTTTAAAAATAATACTTTGAAAGCATAACTAAACATAGTAATTACTTTTTATTTATTTTAAATTTTTATTAAATATATTTAATATTAGTTTTATTTTAAAAATATAGTTTCAATGATATTAATTTTAGGAATTTTTGGGAGAGAGAGAGAGAGAGAGAGAGAGGGGGTGCCGTGACGAGTGTGTGTGAGTGAGAAAGGACGGAGAGAGAGAAAGGGAAGGATTGAGAGTGTGTGTGTGCAGTGAGTATGTGTGTGTTAGTGAGTATATATATATATATATATATATATTTTTTTTAATGAAACGAATCTGAATCGTCTATTTATTTGTAAGTGATTTGACCCGTTGCCCCCGAAGATGTGCCGGAGAGAGAAGCTGGAGAGGATCCGGACTCTCCTAGGCATGCTTGCTGCTTCCGCTGCGGCATCGCTTCACCTGACACCGTGTCAGGTGAAATCACATGCTCGTGAATTGCATGGCAAATATTGGAAGGGCAATCCTGTCGTTATACAATTCTTCATTTTAATTATAATTAGTGCGTTTGAATTTTGAATAATATTACGGATCATGAAAAATATATTATAAAAAATTTTTATTTTTTGATTAATGTGTGATATTTTATTATATAGGTAATTTAAAGATAGAGAATCTTTCATGATCATTTTTATGATATTTTTTTTTATGATCCCTAACATTACTCTTGAATTTTTTAGATTAAATTTTTTAATTTTCATATTTTTTTTTTGTTTTTAGTGAATATTTTTAATATTTTAAACATTTTTTTACTTTTTTAGATGCAACTTATTTAGATGTATCTAAAAAGTAAAAAATTTGTGAAAAAGTATTTTAAAAAATTAATAAATACATAAAAATATAAAAAAATGTACGGAATTCTCGTATTTTTTTTTATATATTTTAAGTATTTAGTAAATTTTTAAAAGGTTTTTTTGACAAATTTTTTACTTTTTAGGCAAATTTATGTGAGGTATGTCTAAAAATAAAAAAAAAATGCTTAAAATATTAAAAAAAATTCAGTAAAAAAAAAATAAAATAGAAAACATGAAAGTAAAATTTTTTTGAAAAACATTTTTTAAAAATTTTAACCAAGCAAAGTGATTATTTTTTTATGTTTTTTCGTAAAAAATTTAAAAATCCTTTTCAAATATATCAATTTTTTTTATATTATATTTTAATCAAAAAATTATTAAAAAAATCTATTTCTAAATGACGTCTAAGTAAAAATTTTAAAAAAAAATTATTGAAAATATAAAATAATCAATAAAAACAAAAAAAATAAATATAAAAAATAAAAAAATAAGTAAATTTAAAAAAGTGAAACCAGACAATTGTCTTCACTAATTTGTTTGTGTTTCGCATTTTCTTCTATATAAGCTCTGCAAAGTAGCTCTTTTAAATGTGTTAAAAGATTAATCATGCCGACAACAGACATGAGTTCTTCTAAGGCACAGCAACAAACACACAACCCATGTCCTCTTCATGCGGTGTGCATACCATACCTAGCACAGGGCCACATCAACCCAATGCTGAAACTAGCAAAGCTCCTCCACCACAAGGGCTTCCACATCACCTTCGTCAACACCGAATTCAACCACCGCCGCCTCCTCAAATCCCAGGGCCCCCACTCCCTCTCCGGCACCGCCTCCTTCCGCTTCGAAACCATCCCCGACGGCCTCCCTCCGTCCGAGGCCGACGCCACTCAGGACATCCCGGCACTCTGTCACTCCATTATGCACAACTTTATTGATCCCTTCAGAGTCTTACTCGACAAACTCAACGACGAGGCTGCTGCATCGTCGGAGGTAACTCCGGTGACATGCGTAGTTTCTGATGGGGCAATGGGCTGCTTTACTCTGAAAGTGGCTGAAGAAATGGGCATACCTGCTGTTATTTTCTTCCCTACTAGTGCTACTGGCTTAATGGGCCATGTTGCATTTCCCAAACTCATGGAAAAGGGTCTTGCTCCACTCAAAGGTTCGTCTACTGAAGTTTGATTTCATTATAATAGAGTAGTTTTTTTTTTTCCTAATTCCATTCTATAATTATCTTCTAGGATAGATTATACCAACTTTTCTGAAATTAAAAAATATATATGTAACTTAAATAATTTTAATATATTTATGATCGCCTCCCTTATATTTTTTTTTCATACTACAAATGTAGTTCTTACATGGAGTGGGCTCATGATGTCCCAAACTAGGCTCTCCAATTCAATTAGCCCCGGTTTGGCTATCATTTTGGGACTAAAAAAAAAATATAAAATAACAAAATAAATTAAATAAGTTAATAAGATAAAATATCACATCTAACTTATAATCATTATATTTTTTTCTCTCACAAAAGTCAAAAAAGTCGAAAAATAAAACCAAACGAGACTAAAAAACCTAAACTAAAAAAGTCTCAACACAAAAAAATTAATTATATTAACTAATGCCAAACAAAGTTTTAGTAGATTGGACGAAAATATCACCCTTTATTTTCCTCAATGTGGTATAATTACGGTGGTTAAATACTTTTAAGATTCATTCATTTATAAAAAATTTAGGAAGAATTACATATCAATGGCAAATACAAAAAATATATAAAAATTGTGATAAATATTAATAATTAAAATCATAAATTTTTCAATATATATATTTATATTCTCCACTAATGTGTAATTCCCCCAAGTAAATTTATATATACTTTTACTTTTAGATCCATTTTTTAAACCTAATGAGGTGTAATTGGGATAGTTAATTAACAGTTAGAAAAGGGAGGAGGATTCCCTCTAGTCTAGATTTGGACGGGGGATGTTTGGATCCGTGAGGCTTACCACGTGTAGGAACCCACACTTTATGTCCTCATCATGTTCATGAGCATCGGTACGATTATGACTTGTTTAGCTTGCATGTGTATGTTGTGATTTGTTTCGTTTGAGCTAATGTGATCCATGCCTTGTTTGAAGCCTTGTGATTTGTCCAAGTGTAGTATGCTTGTCTTGCTCCTTCCTTGATGTGAAACTTAGGTCGCGCCTTGCCTGAGTTATGCTAGCCGATGTTATTCCTAGCCGAGGTCATCCCTTAGTCTAGTAATAATATCTTGGAACCCCTTGTTGACCTCCGTCCTTGCCTTGACCATATTAGCCGAGATGTTACCTTGCACGCAAGTGATCTCGTCCTGGAGTGGTATGACCTAGGCCGAGGTGTGGTGCATCTAGGCCAAGATGTGGCACAGCTTAGTCAAGTGTGTCTTCCTAGCGAGGTCATTGTCACCTTAGTTGCGAAGTCCTTGGTTAGCCGATTCACCTTGCGGGGTACATTCCGTGTAGCGTGATAGAATCGCTTGTTATCAGCCGATGTCGTTGCCCCGTCGAGAGGACATACCGCTTTGCTTGTTGAACACTTTCCACCATGCTTTGTCTGGTCTGTCCAGCCACCTTTTCAGGATGAACCCAACCAGTCGCCGCACGTGTCTCAGCAGAGGGATTAACCCCAGAACCGGTTATAGAAAACTATCATTTGGTGTCATAACCTTGTCTTGTAGAGAGAGAAGCTCTAGGAGGAAGAAAGAGTTTTGGGGTGAGGAAGTAGATTCTTCAAGCTTGATTTCTAGGGATCCAACCGTTAGATCCGCGTTCTAAGGTTAGATTCTTGATCTACTCGTGATGTTCTTTTATGTTTATGTTATTAACATTGCATGATTGAAAACGATTTGTAAGCCATGCATCGTTTTGAAGTTCGATTTTAAGAAAGAGAAAATGGCATTCATGTGTTCTTCAAGAAAGTCTTGTTTTGATCCGGAAGCTTGCCAAAAGAATCATGTTTCAGTGTTCTTTCCACAAGAATTCCAGGTCCGGGTACCAGGTCCATGTTTTCAAACTCATAGCACGAAAGACGCCAGATTTGTAATGGACAAGATTATAGATTGAAACATTTCAAGTTTTTCATGTTTTTCACACTCTGTTCTTCAAGTGTTTCATCACAGAGGGAAACCCAGAGTTTCCCGACTCTTTTCCTTGCAATGTGGCCTCGGGAACACATCTCGGCGAAAGAGTGTGGAACTCTGACCTAGAACCTGGTTGGTGCACAGCATGTTTTCTGAAACGTTTGTGTAATACGCAAACTTGTTGAAGTGCATTCAAAAGGCTTTTGCCTGTATTTGTAGGACTGTGGGCTTGTCTCGACCCCTGACGTGTGGAGAAACTATGTGAGTTGGTATTTTCTAATAAAGTTATGTTAACACTTGTTTGAATAATCTGTTTTTTGCTTGACTTGAAAAAGTAATTATGATTTAGCATGAAATGACTTATCCCTAATTGCATATCAAGCACTACCTTGTTTGATGACATTTCTTGAAAGTCCTTAGCTGCAGGGGACTATATATGCAACTGCACTCTTGTTTGACAGTCCTTAGTGCTAGAGGACTCTAAACTTTCGCAGCACAGCTTTGTCTTGCAAGTCTCTAAGTGCTAGAGGACTTAAACTTTCGCAGGCACAGCTTGTCTTGATAGTCCTTAGTGCTAGAGGACTTTAAACTTTCGCAGACAGGCTTGTCTGAAAGTCCTTAGTTGCAGGGGACTATAATGCAACTGCCTCTTGTCTTGGGAATGTCATCACCCTCTTGTATTAAGTAGATGTAATAACATCCAAAGAACTTGAAAGGCCGGCAATGAACTTGATTTTCCTTTCTTGATTGTAAAGTATGCTATGTATTGTTTTGAAAGAAATCTTGGATATCAATATTGATCCTTTTATTCTTTAATATCATTCACTGAGTATCCAAGCTCACCCTCTCTATATATATGTAGGTGACGAACAAGAAGGCATTGAGGCCTAGGCGTGATTGCCGATGTGTTTTGGGTGCATTGCCGACATGTTTTGGATTAGCATTTTTGTACCATCTTGAAGATCATGCTTCTTGGCTTATTTTTCATTTGTACTTGTATATGTCGGCTTGAGAAGCCTTTTGGTCAAGATGTGTTTTGTACCTCATTTCCTTATTGTATTTAAGTTGTAAGACTTTATAAAGATGTATGTCATTTCATTTGACTTATGCACTGCTCTTATGGACCACTTGTATCTTGAATTATTGCTTCCGCATTTGTGAGCCCCCCTATATAAATACTCTGATTGTGTGTGATTCTTGTAAGTTGGCCTTCGGTAATTACGGATTACTGGCCATCACGGCTCCAAACTACTGGGGGCGGTTTGGGGGCGTGACACCATGTGTCCCATTTCAATGATTAAAACCGTTCATTTTGTCAGACACTTCATGTATTTTATCTTCACAAAAAATTAAGTCGATTCGATAATTATAACTTGTTCAATCTATTACGTTTATCACTGAAAAAATATATGGTTTATTTTAAAAAATATAATTGTTATCTATTTTTTTTATTGAAAAATTGAACAAGTTAGAATTATTGAATCGACTTAGTTTTTTATGTGGATGAAATACACTAAGTATCCGACAAAATGAACAGTTCAAATCATCGAATTGGGGCCCGTGATGGACTCTACGGGTCCAAATAGTGCCCTCAAGTCCAAAATATGAATTGAAGGGTATCCTCTTGTTTAGAAAGGATAGGAGAGAAAAGAATAATACATGACAATGATTGATTGATTAATCATTGGGCTTTAAAAAGTGAGTTGAACTAACTCTCAATTCCAAAATATGGATTGAATGGTATCCTCTTCTTTAGAAAGGATAGGGAAGAAAAGAATAACACATGACAATGATTGATTGATTAATCATTGGGTGTTAAAAAGTGAGTTGAACTTTTTAATTTAAATGACACTAATCTTCTCCCAAAAGTTTATTATACACATTTCAAAAAAAAGGTTCATTTGCATTTCATGAAATCTAAAAAAATGATTGATCATTGATCATAATCAAATTAGGTGGTAGTTTGATATATCACGAATACTTTGGTCATAACCAACATCATTATACATTATAATAAATAAGAGTTTTAGAAACTAAGGCTCTGTTTGATTGTGATTTGTAAACGTGTTTCTACACGTGCGTTTGAGTATGATGTTTGGTTGTTGTTTTGGAATCAATTTTCACGAGCTCTGCAGAGAGCTCTGTGTATCAGCCGCAAAATATTGCTCGGGGGAAGACCACCCGGACGTCCTTAGGGACTTCCACCCGGATGTCCTCTGCTGTACAGATTTTTTTTTTTTTTGGCAATTGATTTATGTAATTGGGAAAAATATTTTCTGAAATTTTTTTAATTTTTAATGTGCTTTGAAATAATTTTGAGTTGTATGTTTAGTTATGAGTTATAAATTTTTGTATCACATATCAAATATCACATCAACAATTCCCCACTCAAATCAAACATCTTTTCAAAAACTATTTTCAAAACTCTTTACCAAATAAATTTTCTACACTCAAATCATAATTCTACAACACACAAACTCAAAATACAACTCATACTCTCAAATCACATTTACAAAACACAACCAAACGCAGGCTAAATATTTTTGTTTATAAAAATGAAAATTTTGTTACAAAAAACATTTAGAGACCAATTTATATTGTCATGAGGATAGTTGCTAAAATATTGTCCCGAAAAGTCCAAAACACGGCTTTTAGTGACAAAATTTTGAAAACTAATAAAGAGACTTTTAGGGACAAAATAATTTGGTTTCAAAATAATTTATTTTTTAAGATAAAAAATTTGGTCCCAAAATGATAATAATTTATCACTAATGTCTAATTTTTGTTGCTAAAAATAAAATAATGGCACTTTTCGCAACAAAAATATTTAGTCTCTAAAAAATAATTTTATCTCTAAATTTTAATCTCTAAAATTTTAATTTTTTGTAGTGATAGAATATAACTTCTAATAGGTTTTCTTTGGCACTACCACAACATGTAACAAAGCATGACAATACTCCGGCCAATTTTGGAAAATTAGTTAAAAGTTAGTTTATTGACTTTTTAATTTTTTTAATCAAATCACATCTTTACTTTTTTTTATACGTTTTTTTTAAAATAAAAAAAAAGTCATAAAAAATTAAAAAATCAATTTTTAACTTACTTTCTAAAATAGGCATTATAATTAACACTATTATAATTCTTAGCATGACTTTTTGCTTATATATAGTATTATCCTAACTGCAATCTTTTTGTTCAAAGTGCAGATGCAAGTTACTTAACCAATGGTTACCTAGACACTGTGATAGACTGGATACCAGGCATGAATGGCATACGATTGAAGGATCTCCCAAGTTTCATTCGAGCCATTGACATCAAGGTTCACTACAAGAATTAACACTTTTAGCAACAAAAAAATTGGTCGCTAAAAGTCTATTTTTGGTCAGCAAAAGTTATCTGCGACCAAAATTTTTGGTCGCTACTTTGGTCGCCAATTGAGGGTCGGCAAAAGTAATTCGCGATCAAAATTTTCGTTGGTCGGCAAAAGTTGGATTTGTCGACTAAATTTTTTGGTCGCTAAATATTTAATTACCGCGACTAATTTATTTTGTCGCTAAAACACTTTGGTCGCGAAAAGTGATATTTTCCCGACCAAATTTCTTAGTCGCCAATTGTCACATTTCGCGACCAAAAAGTTTGGTCGCCAATTATCACATTTCGCGACCAAAAAAGTTGGTCGCCAATTGTTACTTTTCGCGACCAAAACTTTTGGTCGGCAAAAGTGAGTTTCCACGACCAAAACTGTTTTGGTCGGCAATAGATGTATTTTTTGCGACCAAAACTCTTGGTCGGCAATTATCATTTTTTGCGAAAAAAATTTATTTTGGATGCCGCGACTAATAAATTGGTCGCCAAAGCAGGAAAACAATACACCTGTAATTCCTAATAATTCATTCAATCCATAACAAACCTATAATTTTAAAACATCCTTCAAATTAACTGAATCATTAACATTCGACACAATACATAATTCATTAACATTTGACACAATACAACTATTCTAAGTTTTCATTCACAAGTCACATCCATCTAGCATAACAATTTGAAACATAACTATTTGTTATCCATGCACAGCTATCAACAAATAAAACTACTAATATTTGTTATCCATACACTTCTATCCACAAATATTTAATCCTCCAAAAAATGCTTATACTGCCAAGTAGTCTAGTACAATTTAGCTTCGTGAACTTGCTAAGAAATATGTTGGGGAGGGTGCTCGTCTGGTTCAAAAACCAAAGGAGGCACCAAAATTTTGTCTACATATTGCATCAAGACCATAAACTCTGAAAATTTCACCAATGCATACTTCAGCTGCTTTACGAACATCTGCTAATTTATCCTATATATAAATGCAAAACCAAGCAATTAAATAAAGTGATAAAAAAAATGATGAGTTATTTGCCTTTAAATTATTTTTCCGAAAATTTCAAATTTTGCAGCAGTAAATACCGTCATTTTGCACTTACATGGAAGAGACGTGTCATTTTGCAACATGAGAAGCAAATAGGCAGCCTGCATTCTGCAAAATACCCAAAGCGAGAGAGAGAATAAGAAGAAAAAGAAGAGCAATTCACCTTCACATCAAATGGGAGATTACCCACAAAAACCATCCTCTTGTTATCATAGAGTGGAGCATTGTCTCCCTTTAGTTTCTTGCGAGGTGGGCATGCCCTGTCAACACGGATGTGATTTCCTCCAACCTAGATCAACAAACCCATTACAAATGCAGCTAAAACATTCTCCTAGCAAAATATCCAATTGTACCCAGAATCATGTTGATTAACTGTCAAAAGAGCAACATACCACAGCCATATTATGGGCCAAAGAAGCTTGGGCAGCTTGCTCTGTTTCAAAGACAATGTAAGCGTGAACACTGCAAGATCCCAACAATTTATTACTGGTGTAATAACGACAATAGGAAAAAAAAATAAAACAAAACAAAACCTGATGAAACAATCAACACACTAATAGTTACAATTCAATATGTTCATGGCCTCGTGTAATTAATGATTTTTTTAGGAACCAACCTGCTTTTATTAAAGATATAAAAATTAATGATTTGTGAGAAAGATAATTTAAAGATTATTAGTTAAATGTCTGTTGGATGGTTAACTAAAAAAAATGGTGATTAGTAAATGAAACAGGGCCATTAAAGTTTCATGAAAACAATACCAATTCCTTGCTAGACATGGAAGAAACATAATCCAGAGGTTTTTAGTCAGGGATTATTTTTATTCTTACTAGTGTTCTTCTTGAAGGGAAAGAAGCTAGCTTTTGCAAGGCTTCCTTCAAGTCTCCACAGCCATTGATAGTGGCCAGTTCATGTAGTCCTTCAGCAGCCACTAAGATTGTTATCTAAAATTTGAAATATTCAAGAATGATAATACAATCTTCTCATCACAGAATTATTTTATATACTAATATAAAAAATTCTACTAGAGCGGTGATGGTTCAATAGTTATATGCATACAGGCCATAAAAGACATAAGCTGATTCTCTAAGCACATAGCCATAGTTTTTAATTTTATAAGCTTCTTCTATGCTCTGCTGTAGGTTAGCAAGATGAATACTAACTTCGAAAAATTAAATTCAATTACGATGTAACTTGAACCAACTTAGACTGAGTAGCATTGCTAAAATTCCAAGTGTTGACAATTTTTCCACTTTCACCTTTCATATGACAAACAAACTACTGGTCATAGTGTATCAGGTCAGCCCTTCTTCTTCATGACAAATATTATAAATATTAATAATTAAAATTATAGACTTTTTCATGAAATTGTAATAATCTTTAAAAGTCACCACTGAAAGGTAATTTGCCCTTCTTTTAACTCCCTTTCAATTGAAATTTAAATAATAAAATCTTATTTTCTTGTAATTTTTTGGAAAAACTTTCTACTAGCCAAAATGCATGTTCAAAAGTTATTTTTCCTTTCATTGACTCTACTTTCATTTTCTTTCACATTCTCATATGTATATTTTTAGTTCTAACCAAACAAAGCCTTAAGCATTGAACCATTGTCATGAAGAAGGGCTGACACAGAAATTCATGGTCAAAGTAGGACATAGAATAACTTTACAGTTAAAAATGTATACCAATAGGAAGAAGCCAATGTGTAATGTCACAAGCAAAGATAAATGAATTTCAGTATAATGGTTCAAATAAATAAAACCACTTTCCTCTTTGTCATTTGACGCACTACTATTAGACCTTGAATCAACATCAAGCCAATCCTCAAGAAGCATAGAATCTACTATGGTAAACAACAGAAAAGGGAGACACAAATCATACCTGAGAAGAAAACCAACACACTCAGTGCAATAGTAACTCGTGCCATTCTTCAGATTTTCTGATTTTAAAACATACCTGAGAAGAAAACCAAACAGATCAAAAAATGACCATATAAAGATTAAAAGAGAAACAAGATATAGAATTAAAGCATCAGGAAAAAGAAATTCAGAAATTGACTAGAAATGCCTCCTTTCCATTTCATCAGTAAATTCTTATTGAATGAATCTGTGAGACCTAACTCAAGAACAACAATGCAGCAAAATAGGTAAAATTGGAGTTCTCCTAAAAGAGAGTCGCTAGTACAACCAAATTAACAATGATATGTCAAAAAGATAGAACAAAATAGTTTAAGTAAAAGATATTCATTAACTCAACCATGAAGAAAATAGACAAATAAATTAATGAAGCTAATTCTATTCTGAACTTGATTTTCTTCTTCACTTTCTAAAGCTATAATCCAAATATTCCCACTTAAAAGCAACTGATAGGCTGTGGTAAAGAAGAAAAGATCGAGATTCATAAACGCGTAAAGATATTATACAAAACTATTTAACTGGCCTAATATGAAGAAATTGAAAACAGCTAAATTATGGAGTAGAGGTGGAAGAATTATAATTGTCTACCAAGTTGCAGTACCTAAATTTTTTATGATTATGTATACACAATATGATACATGGCTTTATGTAACATTTATACACATTCATACTCAATGCTAAGAAGGTTTTCTGTAACTGAGATTGCCTTCCTGCCATCAAGGGACAAATCCTGGCAGACTTCATAGCAGAGTTCACACTCGAACAAGAAATGGAAGGATTGAAAATGTAGAACCATGGCCAATTGGATACACCGTAGATCTTGTGGTGCAACGGGACCTCAAATAGCAAAGGATTAGGAGTAGGGTTTGTCTTAAGCACTCCCAATAGAGAAATACTTGAATGTTCAGCTCGACTGAACTTCTCAGCAACCAATAATGAATGCGAGTATGAGGCCCTGATCAATGGACTTGCAATTGCAAGAACACTCGAGGCGAAGTCTGTCCAAGTTTTTTGTGCCTCTCAACTTGTCACGAAACATGTGAAAAGCGAATATTTTGCTTGGGATGAAAATTCAAAAAATTAATAATCAAATTGATTCAATAATCATAACTTATATTGTGTTTGTCAATAAAAAGGGAGGCGGGGGGACAACAATTGTGTCTTTAAAATAGACCATTTTTCTTTTCTTTTTTTTACAAAAGCAAAAAAAAAATTAATTATCAAATTGATCTAATTTTTTGTGTGCGAGATGTACACGAGCTACCTAACAAAATGAATAGTTTGACATTGAAATGGATCCCATGGTGGGATCCACAGTCTCGAACAATGATTTCCAATCCAAATTATGGACTGGAAAGAAAGTTCCTCCCAATTTAATAACTGAGGGACTTAAATTTTGAAAATCTTTTCATATGGACTTGATTTGATATGAATTTATTCTAACAATCTTGTTTGGTTCAATTTTGTGAAAATTGAGTTTTTTATTTTCATTTTTTTTTAACATTTTAAGTAATTTTTTTTACTTTTTAGATGCTTCTAACCTAAATGCACCTAAAAAGTAAAATATTTGTAAGAAACTATTTTAAAAAATCAATAAATACATAAAAATATACTAAATTTTGTGGTCTTTTTTGTATTTTTGGTATTGAATGAATTTCGTAAAGATTTTTTTCACAATAGTTATATTTTCTGATTATATTTATATTAAGTGTATCTAAAATTAAAAAAATTCTTAAAATATTAAAAATACAAAAATACAAAAAATAAAAACTTAATTTTCAAAAAATTAAATTTAAAAAATTGAAATCAAAGAAGATAAAATTTTTCAGAAAAAAAGATAGTGCAGTTTAACCTGAAAACTTATTCAATTTGAATTACATTCCCAATATTAATAGCATTTAATGTTAGACTATTGTTACAATATAAGATATAAATAAATGTTCAAAATATGCTTCTGAACATATCCCTTGGCATGTCTCTAGTCAGCTAAAGCCTTATAGGATTAGACCGTCGAATTTTTGGTTTGTGGGTCCACCTTAAACTTTGTTTCACTGATTCAAATTAGGATAAATTATAGTAAATCCCTCTTAATTATGACCCATTTTTAAGGAGTTTTTTTTTTTTGAAATATTCTAAAACAAAAAACAAATTAGAGAATTGACCTACTTTTTAAATTGTTTGGAAAACTAACTTGTTTTTAAAATCACATTTTGAAAATGTAATTTTAAAATTGAAATTACATTTTCAACTTGCAATTTTAAAGTGAAATTCCATGTTAAATATGCAATTTCAATTTCAAAATCGCATTTTCAAAATGCGATTTCAAAAAGTAAGTTAATTTCTTAAATAGTTTGAAAAGTGAGTTAATTTTCTAATTAGGTTGTTTTTTTGGAATATTTATAATAAATAAATAAAACTCCATTTTTAAGTTATCCCATAATGTTTAAAATTTAACCCTCTTATAGTTTTGTTTTTGTAACTCTAAACCTCTGCTGTCATCAAACCGGTAGTCATTTGGCATAAATGAATCACATGTAATTAAAGGTTATGACTAAAATAGCCTTATTACACATGCACACATTGTATATATATACACAATCAGCAACTCTCCATGGCCAGAAACGCCAAGCCATAACCAAAAACTCTCCTGGCTAATACCAACTAGAGAACCCTTATTACCCAAGCCGCTATGATTTGATAAAAAAGTTTCACAGCAAAAGAATTGAGAGTTTTGATAGTGATACGTTGATTAGGTGGGGGGATTTTAGTGGACATAAATGGAATTGATATAGAGGTTTTAGTGTTGAGGGGTTTCAATGTATATTGGGGTGTTTGATCAATGGGAAGGAGGCTGTGGGGAAGGGGTTTCGGCTTGGTGGGAATCGAAATGGGAGGTGGTGAGTGGTGGGGGAAATAAGGTGGTGGTGCAGAGATGGAAGGAAGGGGGAACAATGGAGGAGATGCCATTGGTTAAAGAAAGAAAACAAGGAGCTGGTGTAGGCTGGAAGAGGAGTTGCATGTGGCGGGTAAGATGAAGAGAGGTGGGTCATTGTCTTCAACCACCGTTGTCGCCATTGCCATCGCCGTAAGTCGTTGTAGCCACCGCCAACCCCCTCACCTCTCTCTCTCTCTCTCTCTCTTCAATGAGTTCAAAACCCTCTTTCGTCCACTCTACCTGCAACACAACACCTCTATCTCCATTGCCACCCCCAAACTTCACTCCCTTTGTTGATCATTAGGTCCAGCAAAAATATGGAATTGTTATGGTGATTCACAGTGGTTGACTTTACTCCCTTTGTCAAATGAGTTTGTTGTGTTTGTTAATTGGAATTGTGGAGACACTGTGGAATTAAGGGTTTGGGATTGAATTGATTTGATTAGGGTTGGAAAGAAATTAGGTAGTTGTTGAAGAATATAATGGTAGTCTGGTAGCAATATATTAATTGAAGGGTAAAAAGGTAAATTAATAATTTCTATTAACAGTGTTAGTGACTTTTGCCACTCATATACTTCAAGGGGGGTCAGTGTTGGCTTTTAAACATTAGGGGGACAACTCAAAACTAGGTCATAGTTGAGGGGGTTTAATGTAATTTACGTTTCAAATTATGTTTTTTTAAATACGTGGGTTTAAACTATTCTTAAAAAAATTATATTGATTCGATAAATATAATTACATAATTTTAATATATTTATCTTTAAAAAATTAATGATGTATTTTTAAATTATGTTTGTTATTTATTTTTAAAAAATAATATACATGAATTGAAATCCTAAACATGGAGCTTATGGTAGCCTTCCAAAACTTAATAATCTATCTTTTTTTTTTTTTTTTCACATCATTTCTTTATTTTTCTGCACATCTTTTTATAAAAAGACAAAAAATACACTTAATCTTAAGATTAAGGCCTCGTTTGGCAATCGAACTTTTTAGTTAAAAAGTCAAAAAGTTACTAAATTAGCCAAAAAGCCAACAACCAATACTAAAAAGTCAAAGATTCTATTTTCTCTCTACTTTTTGCACATCTTTTCATAAAAAGTCAAAAAGTCATCCCAAACATACTAATTTTTTTTAGCTCATATTTTAATCAAATAGCCAAAAGTTACTAAATTAGCCTATTCCCAAACGAGGCCTAAGTTAAGGAGGTCCAGGACCACAAAATTTACAGTCCAAAAAATTAATAAGAAATTTGTCCATATTTTAAACCTGTGATGGAGATTCAAGAGCTGTTTTTTAGGTCCATGCATAAAAATAAAAAATAAAAAATTAAATTAAATAATGTTGAATAAAATTGAGGTGTTTATTTATAAATTCTTTTTTACCTATTTATATTTTACTTAATTTAAATTATTTTTTTATATTCCACTAATAAGTGACATAGTTACTAAAATACCTCTAATAATAATAGGGTAATGCGCATATTAATGTTAACATTGACAGTGTGAACGGACCATAATGTGAATATTCACACTGTCAATGTGAACATTCACACTGTCAAATATGAATATTTATATCACTAATTGTTCAAAAAAATACTTTAAATATGAGAATTAAAATTTAATGAATCAAATATCTAAATAATAAGACTTATTAAAATACAAGAATATGTTATTTATTAATTTGGATACAAATCCTTGAAAGAAAATTTTCTAATAAATTTTCAAATAAAATTTTGAGTATATATTTATTATTCGGTCCAGGACACAACTCCACCCATATTCATACCGTCAATGTAACATACAAACAAAGCTTCGTTGATTGAATGCAAATTTCAAACAAATAAATAACACTGTATTTGGATATAGATCTCAATAAAAATTTGACAATAAAAGAGAAATAAAATAAAAAAAAATTAACTTATATTTTATTAACAATTGTCTCACCATTTTCTTTTTCTTTTTTTCCTTTTTTTTTCTTTTTTTAAATTCATACCTAAATCTATGATTCAAAGAGCTTGATTTGAAAAAGAAAAGGGAGCTTAGTTAGATTTTTACCTCTCAAACAATGTCGAGAATAACCCGATCTAGATATGAACTATAAAATTTCAACACCATCAATCTTACTCGATCCGGAGTCATGGTGAGATAGAGATATTCAACTTTGGATGAAGGGTGTATAGAAAAGAAAATTCTGCAGAAACATGAAAAAATCATGAAGGAGACAACACTTTGCTTTAATCCTGTATTGATGCTAAGAAGATCAACGAAAATATTCACAGAAAAGAGCACATAATTTAGATAAATAAGTCCGCAAAATAAAAAGAGATACCTCTAAGATCCCAAGATTTTAGCACCATGTGAGATTTTAAATATCTTTCCTTGTCACCAACAAGATTCACAAGGATTTCGAAATCAATTTTCTTCAGCTTTCAATAGCTTAATGTCTTACCAAACCTCAACAATAAAAAAATGAAAACTATCAGCTTTTGCATAGTGTATTTATCAAATTGAAAACAGAACATGATCACCCCAAAAAGAAAGAGAAATTAAACAATAACTATCAATCAAAGTTTTGATGTAAAAGTTTATAGTGGTTTGTTTAAATGAAGGATGAGGTGAAACAACAATAATTTAAGCGAAGAACAGCTCACCTTAGCTTTTTGCTCACCTATCTGCAGATCTTGCAAATTGTAATAATGAATAGAAGAGGACTTATATATACGGATGGTTAGTGAAGCGACTAAATTTATCAATCGCCTTGTTTGGTTTGGTTTGGTTTGGTTTGGTTTTGAAAAATAAATTTCCAAAAAAAAAAATTGAGAAAAGAGTTTAAATTTTTTTTTTAATTTATTTGGTTGTATATTTTGAAAATGATTTTGGAATATGGGAGCTTGGGATGATTTGATATTTTGTTGTAGTTAAGTAGATATGTGTGTGAGAAATAGTGATTGAGAAGGAGTGAGGAGAGAAAAAAAAAAGTAATTGATTGATGTATAAGAAATAAAAAGTGATTTTGAAGAAAAAAAATTCCAAAATCACTAAACCAAAAAAAATTTAAAATAAACTTCTCCAAAATGTGTTTCTCAAAACCAAACCAAATTGTGTTTGTCTGATAATTAGTACATTAGTAATAGTTTCGGTTTATTTTGAAAGATAGGAGTGAAATTAACCATGTAAAATTTTACAAATATTCTTGTTTTATTGCTATCATATTTGGACTTATACTAACTAATAAATGCATTATATATTTTAATATTGAATATATATTTTATAAATATTAAAATTATATTTTAATATTAAAAATTATATTTCATAAATATATATTTTTTTGGTACTATTTTTTATTTTTTTAATATAATTTTTTTGATATAAATATTATTACATTATTATATTTTTATATTAAATTATTTTAATATAAAGAATGGTGGAGTAAAAAATAGTAGAATAATTTAAAAAAAAATAGTAAAGAAAAGACCATACTAATTAAGTAGAGTAAGTAAATTAGGTAGGATAATAGAGGGCAAAATAGTAAATCTTTCTCTAATCCCAAGGGATTATTTTTCTAATATCATCTCCCATGGAGAATTACTAATACATCTATAGAGACCTATCATAGTCCCAAGGTATTGTAAATCGTCTTTTCCATTTTATAAACAAATATAATATTAATAGACCCCACATATGTCATAATTCAATCTCATTTCTTATAACCCAAAACAAATGGACCCATAATATACCCAACATTTATTTAGAGCCAAACACACCCCCAAGTAAAAAGTCACTTAGGATATCTAAACCCAATTCCAAACTTAATTGTAGGTGTGACCAAACATCACCTTTTAACTCAAAAAACAAAACAAAAAATTGTAGGTTTTTATTTCATTTTGTCTTCATTCTTCTCTTTCTAACTTCTCTCTACCTTTCTCTCATTTTTCCTTACTTTCTTGTTGAACAAACACCCCACATTTACTCCACCCTTACATCACCACCTCAACCCACCACCGCCGGCCATCTTACTTCGTCGGAAAAAATTTCGATCGCCCACTCCTCTTTCTTTGAAAATAGCGCAAAAGAAATTCCAACTCTAGATTTTTCTTAACCTCTTGAAGGATCAAAGCTTGGAGTTTCTTTTCTTGAGGGATTAGAGGTTTTAGAGCACGTTTGGTACGATGGAATAAGCTACAATGGAATGCCCATTACAGCTTTGCATTCACTTTCCCTTATTTGGTATTCCTTATCTAAGTGAAAATAGTCATTCCATTGGAATGTCTATTCCAACAAAATGTGGGAATGCCTATTCATTCCTCCAACTTATGGAATAACTATTCAATTCCATCATGGAATTAATAAAAAAATATATATTATTATTATTATTATATTTTTTTTTTTTGTTAACACTTACAAAATATATTATTATTTAGGTACTATCACCATTCCGTTCTCCTATCACTGTCACCGCCACTGCCACTGTCACTGCCACCCTATTGCCACCACAACACCACTACCACCATCACCACAATCGCCACCTCAACCACCACACCACCATATTACCACCACTCACGTTACTACTCTTGCCTCTACCACCACAACCACTACCTTACTACTACTATGACCACCTTCATAAATATCACACCACTACCAACACTATCACGAGAACCACCACTCTACTAACGTTGGCTACCGTCACTGCCACCACCATCGCAGTCATAATATCACCTTACCACCACCACTAAGGCCACAACAATCTACTACCACCATGCTACTATCATTGCTATCACCACCACTGATGCCACCGATGCCGATGTCGCCGCCGCCGCCGCCACCACCACTACGACTCACACCATCACTTCCACAACTATCAACATTATCATAATCTATATACATTTTTAATTATTTGTTACTAGCTTGTTAAAAAATAAATAATAAATAATAAAAACTTATTCCTTTCCATGAGATAATAGGCAAAACCAAACATAATAATGAAAATTATCATCATATTCCTATATCATTCCATGTTTGCAACCAAACAATTGCCAACATGGAATGAGAATGGACATTCCATTCCATTCAAACTTATATTCCATTCTCACTCTCATTTCATTCCATCATACCAAACATACTCTCCATGGATGTTTTTGCATGTATAAAAATTATTAATTTGATGGATGTTGTAGTATTCATTGAAAGTATTTCCCTAATTATAGATCTTATTTACTCATTGTTAAGATTGGAGGAAGGCGTCTCCACACCTCTTGGGAATTAACTTGTAAAGTTTCAGATCTATCCTTTTTGCTGTCTTGGAGGTGAAAATATCTTACCATGGAAAACATTACCTCCATTTGAAATATAAAGTTTGAGAATGAATTAAATTAGATGGGTTCTCATGATATTAGTATGTATTGAAAAATCTATAAATTTAATGAGGTCAAAAACTGAGTTTAAATCAAGGATTTCATTTGTATAATGAAGCATCAATTTTTCTATGAAAATTTATTTAAGTTGAGTCTTTTAAATTTTATGATTACGATGATGATGATGGAATGCCACTACAACATTTTCTTAGTTTAGTGACATTTGAAAGTGACACAAAACTATTCTTCTAATGACATTTTTTGGTCTTGTGGCATTTTGAACAAGTGCCACTTCTATCGGTGCCACGGTAGATACGAGTGTCACGGTAGATACTTGCAAGTGTCACTGCACCATCATGGCTAAAAACTTTCAATAACATTTTAATGTCATGGTAGATATTATTTGTGGCACTATCAAGCGCTATCAAAAAAAGAGTTAGTGACACTTATAAGTGTCATTACACCATCAAGACTAAAACCTTTCAGTGACACTTTAATGTCATGGTAGGCACTATTCGTGACGCTATCAAGTGCCATTCGTGACGATAATTCGTTGTAGAACATTTTGATCCGCTCTTGCAGATACTCGAACCGCCAACCTCCCGCACCATAAACCTTATACACCACACTCTTCCCACTACATCTCTATAGCACCATATGATTATATATGCAACATATATTATTTATATAGTACATACATCTATATTAATATAAAAGTATATGTATAAACATAATTATTTTATTGAACATAATTTATGTAAAATAAACTATTTACTAGTAAAATAAAAAAAGACCACTTTTGGCGACTAAAAATATTTTTTTGTCGCCAATTCTATACTTTTGGCTACTAATTATTTTTTATGGTTGGGACTCTAATTTTAAAATTTTATAAAGTATTTTTAAAATGAGATCCATCTTATGATGTTATATTTATATTTTTTTTTTCTTGTATCACACTGTTAAAAATTCTAATTTTAAAATTCTTAATCATTACACTTCTCATCCCCTTCTCTCGGTTTCCTCTCTCCGTTTTATCTTCCCGTTTCTCTTGCAAATTGTTCTCTCTTCTTTTGTTATTATAATTTTAATAGTTTGGGAGGGTTTAGGGTGAGAGTTCGAATTAAGGATATTTATCAATAAATTCTATATCACAAATAAGTGCTATAATTAGTTTTACATTTTTTCTATTGATTGGTTAAGTTTTATTAGTGGAGAATTTCTTTCTATGTGGTCCTATTTTTTATTTTTTGTAGTGTTTTGATGGACAACTACATCCTTTTATTAATGTGACAGGTATAATGTGATGCTCAAATGTGGTAGGTATTAATGTGGCACTCCAAAGATGTAACACTCCAAAAACCTTAAAAACTCTTTAGTATACTTTTTCTAAATATGACAACGTGGAGAGTATGATGTGACACTACAAAACTTTTACTCCTAAAAAAATTAAAATTTCTTAGTATACTTTTTCTAAATAAGATAACGTGGCGGGTATGATATGACAGTTCAAAAAGTAAATAAAAGCTCATTGGTTTACTTTTATCAAACGTGACAACGGGTATGATGTGACACTCTAAAAAAATTAAAAACTCATTGGTATACTTTTTCCAAATGTGACATGTGACACTTCAACACGACGGGTATGATGTGATACTCTAAAAAAATTAAAAACTCTTTAGTGTACTTTTTCCAAATATGACACTCTAATGTGATGGGTATAATGTGACACTAAAAAACTCTTTAGTATACTTTTTCCAAATGTAACACTCCAATGTAGCGGGCAAATGAGTCATTACACATTCAAAAGAACTAAATGGATCACAATAAAAAATATGAGATTATATGAATTACAAGTCCAAAATATGGAACTTATTGGTTAATCTCCCTTAAAATTATATAAAAGAAATATTTTAATCTATCATTTTTGGAGATCCATGGAGCAAATTTAGATTTATGGTGACGGAGGAATTATTTTGATGTAAATTCAGGTGGTATATAATATGTCTTTTTTAAATCTTTTTGTAAAGAGTTTTATATTTTAATTATTCCCAACTTGTAATCCTCTTAATTATTGTGATCATTGATAAATTCTGTAAAATTATTTGTTTTTGATTTGTTAATTATTCTGGTCATTTGGTAAAATTCTGTGAAGATATTATGTGTTAACAATGGTGATTTGTCTAATTGAATGATGTGGAAATGTTCTGTACATGGATTGAGTGGACCCTACCAATACACTTTGTACCAATAGCCCAGATAAGTGATTGTGCTTGGGGGAGAGGAGTGAGGCCAGTCACTGGTCATGTACTGAGTAGGAACGGATATTTGGTCCTGGATAAATTATCATATATCGGGTTAAATTGTTGTGTAATTTGGTAAATTGTTTGATTATCGTATCGTTGGTGTAATGTTATAAATTGTTAGATCCCTATTAATTTATTCT